CCGGCGCCATAATGGGCTTCTGTGGAGGGGGGAGGGGAGGCTTCTTGCCACCCGCGCCTGCTCTTCCAGAACTTTCTGTTTCTTCCCCTTCCCGGCTTCTCGCCAGAACAGCAGGGAGGCGTCTGCTTTGGGCCTAACTACCTGACGGCCCTGAGGGGTGATGGGGGTAGGAAGCGTTCCTGCGAAGGGGGAGGGGCGCCTTGAGAGCCGGACTCGCGTACCGGGGATCCCTCGGCTCCTCTCCGCCCGTCAACTTCTTTGCGACCAGACCTAATATCTGAAAACATGTCCTAACGCGCAGTAGTGAAAGGCGCATAAAAACTGTCCCGCTTGGTAGCTGTAATGGGAGGTTCTCTTATGATCCTTAGACTTCTTTATCTCCATATATGCAATACAAAAATATAATGTGCCCGCTAAAGGGCGAGTTGGGGTGGGGGCGTTTTATGTTAAATTTTTAACCAGGCGGCTTTATTCTTGTGCGTTTCTCCTGGTTAAAATTGCTTGTTGGTAAAATCTTCAGATGTCAAAAGAAGGAAAACATAGGCAAGTAGACAAGCAGGAATTTTAAAAATAGTGATTTTTTTTTTTTTGGTGCACTCAACAAAGAATACCAAACTTGAGGGGCCTTAAAGGGGGTTGCTTTCTAGTTTTTCCAGCACTTATAATACTGTTGCATAGACGTACATGCAAGTTTTTAATTTATAAGGGGAGTTGTACTCACATGCTGGTTGTGTGAGTGGGATGGGATCACTAATACAAAGTCATGTGCTATATGAGAGGTAGGTGGTGTTATACTAATAATAAACCAAAAAAATAATTTTTTGCTTGTTTTCTCATCCCAGACAAGTGTTTGAATAAAATTTTGCAAAGATGCTAATGTGCAAGGAAAGAAGCAATGAAAAAAATTAGCTGCCTGGACACCATGAAGTGGGTGGGTTAAAGCAGATGAGTTGTGAATATTGAAGAGAGATGAAAGGACTGCCCTGTCACAGATAGTAAAAGCCCACCATTAGTATTCTATATATCATTGTTTTTATTTGAGTCCTCAGAGGAATAACTAAGATAGCAGGGTGCATTGATTTAAATTAAAATGATTTAAATCATCACACAGAAAAGGTCAATTTTAAATTGATTTTAATAAAAAAATTTCCTTTTGTACTGCCTCAATTTTCTATGGCGCATTCTCATTGGTTGATATAACTATTAAAAGATGTTGAATCAAAACAAAGTAGAACTTGTATTAAGTTGCAAAGAAATTTACTAAATCTTAAGTGTATAGTTATATGATACTCCTATTCAGTCAATTATATCCTTAATATTTTCAGTTTATTGTATATTTTAGTATGTTAGAAAATGTTGTATGATGCATTGCTTTATTTACTAATTTAGGGATGTAATAGTGTAGTCAATTAACTGATAAGCCAAAGTTTATAGGGAGGTGGTCTCCAACATTTTTAAGTGTGAGGTCACTTTTTGAAATTAAGTGCAATCCAGGATCTCCATCAACCCAAACACCCTTGCCCAACCTCCTTCCTGCCCCTTCTCCAAGGCCTTGCCCCTGCTCACTCCATCCTCCTTTACCTCAGGTGGCTTCTGGGTGGTAGTGCAGAGGGCTAAGGCAGGTTCACCCCTATTGTGGCACTTCACCACTCCCAAAAGCAGCCAGCAAACTCTCTCCATCCCTTTCTCTCCCCCCCACCCCCCGCGTGAGGATGGAGTGCAGGGTGGAGGGAGGGGCACCCTGACTTCAGCACACACACCCTTCTTCTTACTGTGCAGGGCACGGGAAGAAGCAGGAGGCTCCCAGGGGAAAAGGGCACTTCTAAGAGAAAGGGCAGGAGCAGCACAGCAGTGCTGAGAGGGGTAGATGAAGTGCCAGCACTTGATAGCTTCCCAGACAAACCTCTCAGGATCACCTGTCAAAGGCTCCAAGATCAACTAGTAGATCCTGATCTACTGGTTGGTGACCACTGCCCTAGTTGTAAGCACCTATCATTTAGCCAGCATACAAAATCCACTTTATAACAGCAAACCACAAGTGAGGTTGCCTTCCTCTCCTCTGATTGCTGCTAGAAACCTGGAAAATTGCACTCTCGGTCTTATATTGTGAGCCTGACTTGGGCAGTGAACCCTGGCTAATACGTGTGTGTGGGCCCCTGGACTAACTCAACTTTTGTTTGATTTGTGTAATAGGATGGTAACTAATAACAGAACCTCTTCAGATGTTCTGTTTTTGATACATAAATCTTATCAAAGCATGTTTCAAATTTACAACTAATAATATACTAATAAGTTAATTCCTTTCTTTAATAAACAATTTCAGAAAATTTTCAGATATTCCCAGTGATTGGCTCTTATGTTCCTACTCTTGTCTGACTCTCTTAAAAATGAGTCCTTTAAATTAATCTGAACTATTATAAAGCGCTTGACTTTAAAAGTTAAGAATTCTTTTTGGTGCTTTTTTATATAGAAAAGCACTCTTGAATTCAAAGTTTGTTAGATGCTTATGTATTCAGCAAACTTATTTTTAATTTGAATGTTCTAAGAGAAAATGAATTAATTTTCCCCTCTTCTTTCCCCCCTAACCCAAAGTTATTAGCTATTAAAATGCTTCCTGTTTAAAGTCTAGTTCTATCCTGAAAATGATGCTGTGTTTTTGTTTGTTTGGTTTTTTTTAAATCAGGGTTGTTTTCCATATTCCATACTGTCTAAATTTGGCATCTGCTTTGCTTTGCTTCCCAATAAAAGCAATACAAACTCATCCTGGGTGTGGTCAAACTGAATTCTGTCCCTCTAGACACCAGTAACTGCTGCAGGCCAAATCGTGCCCCCTCTGAAACCTATGACGCTTTGTTGCCTTCACAAGTGTGATCATTTCATCTGTGCAGAATCACAGAAATAAATGAATGCATAAGTGCACAGGAAGACAATCTGGTTTTGAGGAATGTTTTTCTATTGATGCACGAAAGGGGAAAGAATCTTAAATGTGAAATACCAAGATGAGATTATGAGTTTGGCAGCAAAACTGGAGAAGAGTAGAGAAAACATGTTCGGGCAAATTGAGCTTTTACTTAGGTAACTGTAACCACTGAAAATTTCATAACTGGCTTCCCACATGTACCAAGACCCTGTGTGCAACTGAACCAGTCTTGGTTTAATGGTTTTCTCCATAATGCATTCTTGTTGATTGTTGATAACCTTAATACATATTCTTCACAGCTCAGATGTAGATTGATACACATTATACATTTTTAAACATTGATTTATTTTGAAAAGTTTTCACATTAAAGTTTTATAGCTATATCAGAAAATGAATGTTATTTTATTTACCAGAGGTAATCTAAGTTTATATATTTATGAAGTTATTGGGAAGTGAACTATTTCCTACTCAGGTTAATTATTAATGATTGGATGATTTTCTTGTCATGCCGTATTAAGAGGAGAACATCACCAGACAGACATTTACATTGTTTTATTTAACTAAAACATGTTATGTACAGGCAGTCCCCGGGTTACATACAAGATAGGGACTGTAGGTTTGTTCTTAAGTTGAATTTGTATGTAAGTTGGAATTGGTACATATTGTAGGGGAAACTCTAGCCAAACATTTCTCCAGAGCTCAGTTTGATTCTCCCACACCTCATTTCCCTCAGTCCTTTATTCTCAAGCTGAGGTGTCTGCTGAGAAAAGCCGCTCCGCATCTCCCTGGTCTGCTGGGGGTGAGGGGAAGGCGCTAGTATCACGTCTCCCTGGTCTGCTGGGGGAAAGCAGCTAGTGCAGGTTTGCCTCACCCTGTTTGTAAGTAGGGATCTGATGTAAGTCGGATCCATGTAACCTGGGGACTGCCTGTATTCTGGATTTTTCTCTTCTATGGCAAACATAATACAGTAAAGCCTGTGTTATCTGGCACACTTGGGGATTAGGGTGTTCCAGTTATCTAAAAATTCTGGTTATTTGAGGGTGCCTTTTTGGAGCTGTGACCCCCGCACCTCGTGGGCTGCCACCTGCCCAGCCCAGCTGCTGGCCCAATGATAGCAGCACCAGGCTGCACCCAGCCTCTTGCTGGCTGGATCAAAGCACTGGGCAGTGCCAAGCCCCTAGGAAATTTGCCTGTTTCTAAAGTTTTTCAGATAGTTAAGTGCTGGATAGCACAGGTTTTATTGTGTATTAAAAAACTAAGCATATGAACTTTTCAATCTAGTTTTCAAGTTAGTCTGTTTTTTTAAATATTTAGTTATTTTAGATTAAAAAAATTTAAACAAAAACCTGATTTTAAAAAATGTGACCATCAGCCAGGTCAACATGGAAACTTAACATATTGGCTTCTGCAACTATTTCAGTCATCTTTACTTCCCTTTTTCTGTTTGTTCATAATCTGGAAAAAAAACACAAGCTTTCCTGCTTTTTTCAGGTCCCAAATAATTTCTATATTTGGAACTAATTAGTCCAAAGAGAGGGAATATCCTTTCTGCACCAGAAGAAGCTGCTGCTGTTAAAAGTGAGAGAGAGACTGTTCAAGTGACAGACTCTAAATGCTTATGTGACTTCCTTTAAAACATCATCAGCAAACATATCTCTTCAGTGGGTCACCCTTAACGCTTAAGTTTATTATAGTTGGGTTTATGGAGAAATGACTGCTAGATATCCATATCCTAGCCAATTCTGCTTCTTCAGCAGTAAAGGTTTGAGTCTGTTACGGAGTATTGAGAACATTTGCAAGAAAATGAGCTGGAGATACACCCCTTTATGTTCTTAATGCTTGACATTTAACTCTATCATTGCTTTTTTCTCATTTTAAGGTCTCGGTTCAAATTTCAATGGCTGTTTTATTGCTGATGCCATCTCCCTGCACTTTGTTCAAAGCTACAAAAATAAGCTTGAGTGTACTCAGCATGTGTTAGAACATAAAAACGACCATACTGGGTTAAACCAAAGGTCCATCTAGCCCAGTATCCTGTCCCAACAGTGGCCAATACCAGATGCCCCAGAAAGAGGGAACACAACAGGTAATCCTCATGTGCAGGGCTTGACAAACGATTTCAGCCGCGCATCTCATTTACCTGCAGCATACGCAATGCGGCTCTTGTGCATGCTCAGTGTGGGGCTGGCAAGCAGCTTTTGCCACTGTTTGTCAAGCCCTGCTCATGGGATCCCTCTCCTGTTACACATTTCCAGGCAAACACAAGCTAGGGACACCATTCCTACTCATCCTGGCTAGTAGCCATTGATGGACCTAACCTCCATAAATCTATCTAGCTCTTCTTTGAACTTGGTTATAGGTACATAACATCCTCTGACAGGAGATCCACAGGTGGACTGTGCACTGAGTGAAGATAAACTTCTTTTTCTTTGTTTTAAAAATGATGCCTATTAATTTCATTAGGTGACCCCTACTTCTTATACTGTGGGAATAAGTAAATAACTTTTCTTTACTCTTTTTCCACGCCAGTCATGATTTATAGATCTCTATCGTATCTGCCCCTTAGTCTTCTCTTTTTCTAAGGTGAAAAGTCCAAGTCTTTAATTTCTTGTCACATGGGACCCATTCCAAACCCCTAATCCAGCTGTGGCCAGCTCGCGAGCTGTATTTGGCTCTTGCCCCCCAAATGTGCAGCTCGTAAAGCCACTCTTGTGGGGTGGGGCCCTAGACAGCCCCTGCCGGCTCCCCCTGACCTCTAGCTTTCTTGTACTTACCAGGTTGGGGCTGCAGGGTTTTTAAAAATGGCACGCAAGATGAGATGTCTTAAAGGGGCAGCCTCCTTTTTAAAAAATTATTTTTTTGTTTTTGCTTGACAACTCTGTTCTGAAGGGCCTCCTCCCCCCTCCCCCCTCCCCCACA